GTATAATAGCACAACAAATATTGGACATTAAATTTGATGATACATTGAAAAGAATCAGAAAACAGAACAGTTTAAAGAGTGTTCAAATTAAAGCATTAAAAACTAACCTTCTGGCTTACGAACATACAGTGTTAAGTAATCATTTGCTCTAGCGAATTGGTTGTTCGGTGAGAAATCCGCCCTTTTCTTTGTTATTATTCAGAAGTATTTAGAAATGTTGAACTATATTATTTATGGTGTCAGTTCACTGACTGTTAGGTTTGTTGGAATCTCAAATGAGTTCTCGTTACAAAGCAACATCATTCGATATCAGGAGGTACTACGCAGTTGCTTAGCCTCATTTTGGTACTCATCAATAGTATGCCCTCATGAGACTACCAGAGATCAAACCATAGATCCAGATGCTTTGAGATGAGAGCATTAAGTTCCAGTTATTGGGTTGAACTCTAATGATTAAGAGTCCCAAACTAGGAGGAAGCAGAAGTCCACATCCACACCTGATAATGTAGTCAATGAGTTGATGCATGTAATATTATCAATGATTTGATTTTTTTAAACAGAACATGTATCAAAAAAGAGGAAGCTAAGAGACAGAATGAAAACAGGGTTTTTCATTGATTCAACCGTTCTCGCTGTTTTTAACTACACACAAATAATTCAGAAGAAGCCTGAAGTTACTGCTCTTTGCCAGAGAAAAAAAATATTTTTCATAAATAAAAATTCATTCCTACATTCCTTTTGACCGCAATTGATGGTTTTTCTTTCCACATTTTGTCTTTCTGTTTAGTTACACAATTCATTTTGTTTTCAATTTTCTCATTTTTTAATTCTACCTTTGTATACCGACTGATAATCTGCCAATGAGGCTTCCTGATGACATTGTATCCCAGTGTTAGAAAACGATGTTCAACAGATATAACAAAAAAAACACTCTTCAATTCAGTTTTGTGAATCAGTAACAACCATTTAAAGATGTACACTGAAATATGATGGTGGAAGATAACATGTTTTAGTACATTTAAACAAAGCAACAAAAAAGACATTTGTAATATAATATAAGTTAATTGTTACTTTACTGGGTGCTTTTTGATTGCATACAACCCAAATGATCACCAATACTTGGTTAAACCTGATATATCCATGTACAAATGTTAATTATTGTGATCGTTCAGAGGTTCAATAATGTAAAGTGGAGAACAAAATAATCGACGTCTAATACACGTGATTTAGTCAACTATAGATGGAAATTTATAGGACAATGGAAAGAATTTTCTGGACTAACTAATATGGGTTTAGATATGTTAGTCGAATGTTACGCAATTATATGGAAATTTATATGCATTAAATTAATAAGGGATAATGAGATAAGAAATTAGGATAACAATAAAAATTGTAAAATAAAACCAGAAATATTTTTATGAAGTAGTGATAACATGAACAACAATAATAATTTGAATTCGAAGAAATCTAAAAAGTAGGAATACAGGAATAGTGAAAAGTTAAGAATGACTATTTCTCCTGGCATGAAGATCATTCATTACGCAGATGGCGAAAGGTTAACCTTCGTTTCACTCTGAATAAATAGTTTGGGTTTGACATCTATCCTTTTTGTTGACAATAACGAAAGCTTTCAAAGTGTTAGTTTCGAATCATGTACAAAATACACTGTGGGCGATTGTACCTTTAACGAATTACAACTTTAAGGTTGGTATGTGTGGATTGATTCGGTTCGATTATCATCCCGCAGTCTTACCAGTATATTCCATTCTTCATTAACACTTAAAGTGACAAAAGCAAGTGAAATTACTGAAGTCTGATTTCTGGTCCACTTTCAACGCAGTGATTGAACAAAGCGCCTCATATGGTCGTAAAACGTTTTCTGCCGAATAATTCCTAGATATGGAATTAATAGTTTACTTGTTGATTTCCTCTCTTTGAAACAATTCCCATAAAATTTAGTTTTATCTACTATGCTGCCGCATGAAAGTCACTTTCTGTTACTTACCCAATAATTTTGAATGATTTTCAAAAGATATTTGCTACTTAATAGATGTCAATGAGTAAACTTCAGTTAAATTCAAAGAGTTTCTTCCGGTAGTTAGTTTGAGCCCCTTAGGGAGGTGTGGGCTACCTGACTAGGATCCTTGAGTGACTACGAATGTAGGTGATATGAGTCAAACCCTTTGTCAGTGGCAAAAATGCATTCATATTTGGTTGTCTCCAATATCCACTAAACTGTCATGTTTTTGCAATTTATTATTCTTTGTTTTTAACGTTTGTAATTATTATACTTCTTTTCAATCTCTTTTTTCTCTCTTTTGCCTTTGCGTACTACATGGAATGCGGCATCTTGAACTGTTGTAGTTCCATGCGAATTTGTATGTTGAAACTAAGTCAGTCAGTCAGTCTCTTTCGAACATAACACCTGCGCTCTTTGATTAGGTGTCCCTAATAAAATTTTGTTATAAGCGATAAGTTGAAGTATTTAAAAGCTTAAATGCTGATTTTAATTTTATGGTGTATGTCTCGTTCCGCTGTACTAACTTCAGTCTGTTTGGATACACAGGTCTTAAAGGTTGATTCGATTTTCCTTATCAGGCTTCATTATTAACCTTGCATTACCATGGATTTTAATAAATTCTGGAGATTCCCCTCTATTTATTAGAAGATATCTGAATCACTGGAAAGTCCTAATATACATTGTTCTTTATACATCGATTATTAGCTGGTCAATTCAAAATGTACGCTGCTGAATGAAGATCCAGACAAATCAAAATGAAATCATAATATCCTCCAAATGTTGTTCTTATTGATTTATTAAAAATTATAACAGTGACGAAAATTATGAAATTTACACATAACTAATACTGAAGATGATCGTGTGCAAACAGATGAAGAATTGCAAGACATATTCTATTTATAGGTCACTGACTTAGACATGAGTTAAATTGCACTTAACATATCGCAATATTTCGACCCATCAAAAACATTCCTATTCTATCATATTTTTATACATGGTCACGGTTGGTTAATTGCATAATGGTACTGTATTCTAAAGCATAAGAAAGATCAATGGAGTACTGAAAATCGTACTTATCAACTTGTTTTCCTTATTATCATCATCAGCCATTCAGAAAATGAAACTGCCTCAATGATTACCAAAAGTAGATAACAGCTTCATCTATTACAAACTCAAACATATTTATTTGCTAACACGTACGTGCAAAACAGTGCACTGAAAAAGTAGATAATATGCTGTACTGGTCTTATTAGGACTGAATGAGACTAGTCGTCTAGTGGTATGTTATCTGCTGTACATGGAACAAAATTTCAAACAATTAAATTCAATATATGACACCTAATCATCAACATAAAATTGTCGTGTGTTGCATCATATGGGAGGCATCAATCGAGACAGTGAAAACAAACCTTGGCATTTAAAAAGAATTAGTAGTTAGTGTCCAACTGTTCCGAAAGCAATTAGAGTAAACCAGTACTTCTGTACTCCATTTTTTACCTTGCCTTTGACTAAAATTCATTTGTTCCAGTTTAGTTTTTGTATTCTTTCGTATTACTTTTGCTGGTATGCATTGCGAAATCAATAATATCCGATATGTTATCAGTGCAAGTTTAACTGTTCACGAAACTCTCTACAAAACATCTTTTCAATGTTTTACATCTCTTTTTGAGCAGGTCGTCTGATTTTTATGTTTGTCGTTATTTCAAAGCAAGTTTTATTAGGACCAATGAAATCTCTGTGTGCCATACAATTTTGTCTTATAGTTTGTGATTCCTCAGTAGCGGTTACTTCACAACCTAATCTGGAATTGAGTCATGGACTGTCAAGTTATGTGTTAATCTTTTTGAAATTCTGTCAGTTTCTGACGTTTTCATGTATGCTGTTAGCACAAATACAATAAAGTACTTTGTGAATGATTATATTGCCACAAATAGGCTTTTTTTGTTATGCTGAAGTTACTCAGTCGATGAAAACGAATTTAGAATATGCACACCAGACTCATGGTTTCTCCGCAGTACGAAAGTGACATTGATTACGTCACTGCAATAAACTAATTCTATTCATGTGAAAGTCAAATGCACATACTATTTGCATTCATTTTAACACTTTATGATTGAATGAATTCCACTCGAAAGGCTTTTTTTTGTTAAAATTCTAATCTATTATCTTCTCATGAGGCGAGTAATTAGCGTAGCGGTTCCCTTTGCATGCAACTATTGTTACATGTTTTCAGACTGATAAACTGGCACTTTCATTAATCAGGTAAGGACTGGACTTGAAGAGAAACCTAACTACTGAAAACATCATTCCACTGCTTTAAAGTCACGTGATATTTTAGTTAACAACGGAGAACTAGTCAGTTAAATTAAGCATTCAAATGTCGACCCCCATCTGAAATAAAAGTTTGCATATCAATGCCAGATGAGATCTAAATAGTAACTCATAAGAAACCCTAGTGCTGATCACTCAAGTAATCTCAAAAGCATACATTAAAGTGAACCGTATTCTTCTTCATTTCTTGTTTTCCAAGTAAAAATAGGTCTTTAAGCTCACAACTTTCAGCAGCGCGATAGGGTTACTGGGCGCGCTTTATTAGGAGTTACTACACGTTACACGAGATATAGGAGTACTTTAGCCGAACCTCCAGCGTGACTGGGAGGTACTGCACCATGAAACCACCGTATTCTTACAACTAACAAACTTGATTGATTTGAGTCCATTAGAAGAACACATGATCCAGTGCGACCTAGATAAATTCTACTAACTGAGCTTAAATGGAGTGAAACCCACATCTTACATTCTACTGGTAAATACTATGGTAGACTATACAATTTGACACTTACTATACCTCTTCTTTGAAACTTTTCATGACCGATTTAGAAGGTAATTAATTCAATAGGGCTCGCTGCTTTTTACTATTAACAAGAATATGTAAAATAATTTCTCTATTTCTGCTTTTAAAGGTTGATGTGAAACAATCATGTCGGATAAATATGATAAATTTTATGAGAAAATTGTTGAATGCATTAAAAAGCCTTCAAATGAAAGGTTAACTGAAGAAATTGAAGAAATCTATCCATGGTTTATTGCAAAAGTGAAATTCTTCTCCAATCTTAAACCTGGTAATCATGATGTTTAATTTGTTTAGCTAATATTACAAATAAATTATTTACCTATAGAAATTGTCAAGGATATAATAAAGAATTGTGAATTCGCTGAACGTGAAACAGACGAAATAATTATACGTCAGTTTGAACAAGGCGACTGGTAAGAATCAGATGTTATTTTCAGTTGTTTTGAGTTTTTAAAGATTCGATTGATTTCATAGTCAGTTTTTTCCCTGAAATGATATTGGCTGATAAAGCACTGAAGAGCCAAACACACTGGAAATAAGATTCTTCAAGCTTTGTGAGTCTTGAGTAACTCGATGGAATACAGATGTGGTCATTATCAAAATCTGATTGCTTTGGATATGACTCATAGAAGAGTTGAAACAGAAGAAAAGCAACTGTCCAGTGCGTTTCAGGTGATATCGATCGGTTGTGAAATCTACCTTGATATATTTTGAACTTTTTGATGTGGTTGTGTTCTCTGAGCTGGATAGTTAATTTGCGAAGCTTTCATCACGCTACTAGGTGACTTCTTCAGTACATACTTCAATTTGCAGTGAGCTTTTAGATTTCTCTACGAGTTTAATAATCATCTCTCCCGGTGACCTTGGACGTGGTTGGTTGTTTTTCTGTGTTTCCACACCTTCTTATAAATTCTCTAGCATTTTTAGAAGCTTGGCATTCCAGTGAATCATCAATCAATAGACACATCGAGATGGACAAAATTTATCAACCGATAAGAAAGAAACCTCACACACACAAAGGGTCGAAGTTCAAGTCAAAGAAACAATGAGTGACAATACAAGTAACCTAGAAGGTGTGGAAACACACAAAAACAACCAATCACGTCCAAGGTCACCGGGAGAGATGATTAATAAATTCGTGGAGAAATCTAAAAGCTCACTTCAACACATTGAAGTATGCGCTGAAGATGTCACCTAGTAGGGTGATGAAAGCTTCGCAAATTAACTATCCAGTTCAGAGAACACAACCACATAAAAATCATCCACCTGAGCTACAAATCTTCCCCATCATATCTATATTTTGAACTATTTTGAGAGTTTTGAAATTTCGAGTTTCGAATTAACTATTGCTTGGGTATTTTACTATAATCAGTTAAACTTTAGTTTGTTCTATTTACTCATGTCATACTGACACTGCTTATCTTACTTGTTCTTAAATATATTCAAATAGTATATTAAGAAAAAGGAATTAAAATGCACCAGTTATTTCCTTTATGGTTTGTTCTGCTGTAAACTAATAAATGTGGGGAGCCAGAGTCAGTTACGGACGGACGGAAATTTATAGTCACCGCAACTTATTACGAGCTTACAAAAGATAAAGTGAAAAGTTATTTTTATGATTAGAACAGGGATAAATTTGACGTACCGCGCATTTCACGAACTTGTTTTCAAATCAATTAAACAGTTATTTAGTTTTTAAGTTTATTCTATGCAAGGACCAGTGTCAAAGACCTTTAACTACTGATAGTATACTTTGATAGTAGTATAACCATGGACTATTTGAATTTCAGTGCATCACTTGATGAATTCGATGAAGCCACTCAATGACATGCTTCATTATATTTCAGTTTTAAGCGTAAATTTGAATGGTGCCCAACTACCCAGTCAATTAATCCGATAAATAATATGGCTGTAAGTTAGGTATGTAGTAATCTAAGAGGCTATTCATAGTCGTCTAGCAACTCATATACCAAATGATTGTTCAAAAGACAGTTTATTAATAAAAATAATAATTCCATAAATATTCATGATTAAAATTTTATTACATTAGGCTTTTAAATGCTGGCACCATTTTTGATAGCTTTGTTAGTAGTATTCGAGATTAAGATTTCTTTCCACATCTTTTTATATGATAACTATAGATGTAAATAATGTGAGGGTTACTTAACAAATAAATTTTCACTTATTAAAATTATGACAAGAAATAAAATCCATTAGAGTGCAAACCTCAAAAATTAAGTAAACAGAAACTCATCTAACTGAAGAAACAATCAAATGCAGAACAGAATTCTAAGAAAAACTTAAACGTCAAATGAAAAAGACGCTTTCTCCAATTTTCAGTAAAACAACCTCACTTTGGAAATGCAAACTAAGGAGAAACAGTTAAAAATTACTTTACTGATGCAAATTAAGAGTCTGACTTACAAAAAGACACCAGTGAAACAGAAATGCCAACGTGTTGTTCACAGATAATAAAGGAAATCCACTTACATATAAAGTTAGATAGAATCTGAGGCATAGCTTGATGCCGAAAGTTGTCAGTAAAATATAAGGTTTAAATAAATGAAAAATCACTGGAATATTCACAAACTGAGATGTAAACTCTCAGTGATATATCCCAGAAATTGACTTTGTGATTTAAAAGGAACTGTTTATTGATAGGCTTCATGATTGTGGGGAAAAACTGCCTCTCGTTGTTGCAATTAATTATTCTACACAATGACAGCATCTTTCTTTCCCCTGTATCTGTCACTCATAAACAGACCTAATAAGAGAAATAAGTTATTGTCTGACGAGAGCAGATTGTGATTAGTTAGTTCGTTTCAGTTAATTTTCATGATAAGTCGACATTCAAAAACTTTGGAGAACTGAACCACAACTTCCTCTAAAGAACATCATTCCATCGCTAGCCAACAGCTAACTTCCAAATAAAAAAACTAAAGTCAGGCAATCTAAGTGAGAAAACATCTACTTGTTATGTACGAATATGAGGACCTTGTAGACTATGAGCGAATCTAACTTAATTCGCTGGCTAATCTGTCCCAATCGCACGTCAACAACAACAACGACAATACCGCCGGGCACGCAAGACAAAGAAAGAAGACTGGACGTTGATACGAGAGCTTTTACTGTCTCTAACAACAGTCGGAATGTTAAACAACAACTCCGTATTTATACAGTTAGGAAAATCAATGTCACATTTTAAGAATATTGACAAACCATGGGAATTCAGTAATTAAAATCAATAATCACGCAGATGCGGGAAATCAATGATTATGCAAGTGTGGGAAATAAATAATGAATATTAATGAGTCACCTGTGTATATATCACTACTTGATAATGACAGAGGGTGATAATAACCGATGCCAGCAAGACTTAATTAATATTTGAGATCTCATGGCCGCGTGCATAAATTCATCCGGTATTTCAGGTGAACACTGCCGAAGAAAACTAAATGACTCTTTAATGGTTGCTTGTTTTTAATTGCGCCGTTACTTAAATCTGTCTCATAGTAGGAATCATTAATCATGGGACTGTCAATGCTCTGACAGCCCTAAGAACTGAATAACTTTGTGTTTCCTATACCAAAAGAAATCTGATTTATTTACTAATATTTTTAGGCGGAAAGTGTTTTGTACTGAAATTCGTTTAATATACCCTATGAAGTCCCATTCTTTTCAAAGAATTAAGGATTTTACGTTGCAGGGAAGGGAACAGAGACTCCAAGAAGGAGCATTATCTATCAAGAATATACAATTTTTAATTAATAAAACTGTAGAAAAATTCCACTTTTTAGGTCAAAAAGTAATATTCCGTAAATTATCTTCACAAAATTTCTGCTCCGATCAAAAGTTTACAGGCTATAAATACTTATGTAGTTTTCTACATGACAGAAATGAGTAGACATATGATCAGAAATGTAGTAATAGAGGAAATGCTGAATATAATCAATAAATTTCAGCAAACAGGCAAACACTGAGGTAATTAGGATCTATAAATACTTACACTTTGAAAATGATTTAGAATTCTGTTTTGTTTCAAGGTGGATTTCCACACTGTATAATATGAGTTACAGAACTATTAGAAACCATGCAGCACTGTACAGCTGTTTCATCCCACTTTGGAAGTCATCAGCAGTAGGCACCCATAACCCCACCACAGATTGCATAGCTTACCGAATTTTTATTGATTTGTAAGACAGCTCAGTTCCACTTAGTTATTTCTATCTACAAATGTTTTAAAATGATCAGGTTTTTAGTTGTTTAAAGGAAAAAAGTTGGGCTGTACCGACTTTCATCAATTTTACAAGGTAAATACTGACTTTCAACTAATCACTTAGTATGAGGAATGATGCAACGAAATATTTTTAATTTTGAGTCAATAAAATTATAAAAGTACTCAAATGTCATTATTTTATCAATTGATGGTAATTTAGTAGATGCTTGATATTTTATTTTATTGATTACCTTTCTCTTATTTATTTTCGTTGCCTTGGTGATTATTTTAAATAATTACACTTGAGGAAACAATGAAGAATTAACTTCTTAAAGTTTATTTATTAATAATAATAACTGATTAAAATTAGGTCAGAGGCTGTCCTAATGTAATCATTACTGAAGAACATAAAAAAATTCAAAAAAGGTTATTAAATTCAATGAGATTATATCATATAATTTTTAAAAGAGAAGTGTGTTATGGTAAATTAGATATTAGTAATGATAAATAGAACAGATTGTAGATTCTAAACTAGAGACTGTTGTATCGTGGCTATAAATGCATGTGGAAAACGGAAATAGCATCATTCAGCTTTTGAACGTTCAAGAAAAAGTTGTGAATTTATAGCGCCGCACACAAGCGATCAGAGAAGAATGATCCTCAGCCAAATCAGTAGAATTTGTTTATTATTAAGGTGCTTACTTTAGTAATGAACAACCTGAAATAGAGAATAATCATGATAAATATGTAGGAAGATCTATTATTCTAGTAGCCTGGTATAGTAGCACATGGGAGATAAGTAAAATGAGAGGCTAATGTCCATTCAAAAGTGTTAGAATATTATTTCTAGTGATACCACAGCTGATCGTTTATTCACTTGTTATTCCACAGACTGCCTAAGCAAAGTGAGATATCATTAACGATACAAAATTATGCAAATAATCCTATTTCCCTTGAGCATAATACTCAAAATGATTTCAGATATCAGGAAGGAGAATAGTTTTCATTCTTTGCAAATAAAAATGGAAAATGTTGTCATTAGAAGTTGACTATTCTATCCTGAAATGAAGCCTTTCATTACAAGTGTTATAAGAATTAGTATGTTTTTACAAGGAAAAACACTACCTAAAGTTTGTGTATGATCATTTTCAAGCATGAATATTGTAACTGCATGTTTCAGCGAAGTGAAAGGCATTCCACTAAGACCTAAAATTCAGAGATGCTAATAGAAAAACAAGTAACAATTACCGTTATGATTTTGGTGATATTTAGGATCTTCACGATTACTGTCATCCGTTGACATGCTTATCCCTTCACTTGTATTCTCTCCTTTTTCCAGATTAAAACAGATTACAGTGACCCAAACCCACTTTCCCCTCATTTCATTTACTAACTGACCACTCTAGGTGCTTCAGACTGATGAATCACTATTTCTTACTGCCCAAAAACAAAGTGTGCTGTAGGACACATTTCTCTAGTCAATACTTTGATATACTAAACTTCAAGACGTGCATGCGTTTATCCAGCTAGCTTTATGAGGCAAATGTAGTTACTGCATTTTAAAATGTGAGTGAGGGAAGGTTACGATTCCAGGGCGTAGTTGGGTGGTTGAAACAAAATGAATTGCAGTAAATAGGATCCATTTTGTTGGATGCAGAAGAATTTGGTAGCCCAGTCATTTAAGCAGGCTGACAGATGCTCATCCAGCATTTGAGTGATCCACTGCAACTCAAATGATATACAACTTGGCTTCTATCATAACTTAGCGATAACCCCAACCCTCTCATCTTTGAAAAATGAAATAATTCAAATATGAACACATTAGGAAATAGTCTTAGTGTTTAATCAGGAATACTAAGTTAGTGTAACGGTAGAAGACAAGTCACTTGGTATTTCTATAAAGCGAAATTATGTACACCTTATCTTCAAGTTGTCATTTGTACAGATCTTACACGTTGTGCTACTTTTGCCCCTCGTATTGTGTTTCTTCGTCTTCTTTTCGTGTCTCCCATGTTTTTCCGCAACGCTGAATCATCTTCTCTCTTTGACGCCAAATCTCTCACTCCGCTATTTGATATCTTCATATCTGTACAGGTCTGCTTACATACTACTGATAAATCTTATCAGTAGCACACGCATACTAGTACGAGAAGGAAAATGAATCATATTCAAGTATTGCTTTGTAGGGATTTGGTTGATTGGTTACAGGATTTCATCATGAGCTGACATTGGTTAGAGAACCATTGGAAAACCTAGGAGTACTGGACAGCTGTTTCGTCCTAGTTTGGGACTCTTCATCAGTACGCACCCACCGCCAGGGTTCGAACCCAGGACCTTCTGGTTACACGGCGAGCTCGTATACCATTAAGCCACTGGGACCCGATCCAATGGCCCATGAATTCTAACTTCTGCCAATTCACGACATAGCGCGACCCCTAGCCAATGTCTTCGGCGAGTATTTGTCCTCACACCCAACCTGCTGCACCCTACTGGTCACGACTTCCCACTGGAACCCCAGGTAACTGAATCAAACTGAAGATTTGCATGCAATCATGTAATGATTATAAATTTATACATGAATTCTCAGTAATGAATTTGTAAAAATTACTATCAATACACTAAGCAGGGTAAAACATATCCATTTTATATCTTTAGTTTCTTGTTAGCTGCTTACGGTAGTGAAAGTTGCAACTTTAGAACACTACGGTTCATTGGGGAAAATGTTGTAAAATAATTAAGAGTTATTATGGTAAAAAAGTTTATCAAAAATGTCAACTTTCCTTAACTGAATTTAATACTTCGATTAATTGATTAATCATGGTCATCCTTAATTATTTCTCGACATTTTTCTCCACAGTGAGCTAAAGTACGTTAAAAAGGTAATAAAATCATTAACTTTCCTGTATCTAGAGTTTAAGCAACTGACAAGATACGAAAAAATACAATGCATCCTGTCACTATTGTTACCAGCTACATTTAATAAATATAAATTCTTCACTTTCTTCACCTAGTTCATATCTACTCAATAAACACACATCTGTTTCACTTTTTTTAAATCACAAAACCATTGGAACTATATTCGTCAACAGGGTTACTACAGTTATTTTACTTCACACGGTTTTAGGTTACAAATAGGCGAAAACATTTTAAACAAATAAAAAGCAATAGAATACACTTCCATTTAACTCCATACATATAGTTGTGCCACATAAATACAAAAGGCAGTCCGAAAATTTCGCTTATTGCTTATTTTAAAAATAACAACTTTATGCTACCATAAAATATTAAATTTCAACTGATAAGTTAAGTATTAATTCGATTACTATTCACTGATCAATATTATTTTGTAAGAATTAAATTTGTCTTATCACACAACCTAAACTTTTAATTCACTTTTAGATTTTCCCGTCGATTGATTAGACCGAAATTCTCGGTTTCAGGGTGACATATCGGCTCCTTCTGCTGATGCTTCGACGATGTCTGGTCATGTAGCTTGAAGTCAACCGGTGGATGGTGACCAGACATCGTCGAAGCATCTGCTCAAGGAGCCAACATGTCAACTTGAGACCGAGCACCTCTGTCCAATCAATCGATGGGAAAATATAAAATTGAATTAAATAATTAATAAGACCCGTTGCACAAGGGATGGCTCTCGTAGCCTAAGTGGTCCAATGGGTAACGCTTTGGCGTTTGAAAATATGGGCAACGGGTTTGAGCCTCAGTGGGAACACCATCCCTCACTAGGGAATGCAGGTACACCCAGTGACGAGTCCCAAATAAGACGAAGTGCGCGTCCTGGATTCCACTGCTAGTCACCATCTACCAACTGACTAAATCTTTAGTGCTAGAAGTGTGTAGGATGAGAATGACTTGCTGTATTAGATACACTAACTACATGACATTGATAGTTGTCAAGTATTCTATGAGTGTATAAGATTGTTTTACAAAAAGAAATCCGTTTTCTCAACAGTTCAGTGATTGAGATTCAATGCATCATCTTAGTGATAAAATATGAATAGATCTATAATAAACATATTAAGATAAATAAAAAGTATTTTATTTTATTATATTTTGATTATAGCTAGAAACCACAGGTACTTTTAGTACAAGTATGGAATTTTCGCATGTGATATCGGTGCCAAATTTTGCAGGCCAACCATTGATATCAGGTGTGCGTCGGTAGGATCAACCTGGCGGGCATCCTAACCACTGTGCACCGACACATAGTTAAATTATGTGTAAATCCGTCCACTGATTCTAAAAGTATGGTTCATTCATATACTGTAAGTGTTCGGGCAGTCTTCACATTCAACTAGTGCCTCCTATGTGCTGGATAACAAGCTCAGACTCAATCTTACTGTTGAAAAAACAATAAATACTAAGGGCTTTAAATGAAGCCTCTTACTTTTAAATTCAGTGGTTCATATTCGATTGTTCAAAGAAACATAAATTTTCTTTTTCAAGATTACAGATACTCGTGGATAATAGAACATTGATTCAAAGTTCCCTAAAATCTGCTTGTAGTCTAGTAATATCCTGGAAATTCTCCACCCTCTGAAATCACCCACTTCAGCAATTTTTCTCATTTATGAAAACGGGTCGATTCAGTTGATATCTTCTGATTAGATGTGTACTGACTACAGTAATATAGAATTGTCTATATATATATATATGGTGACAAAGAATAACTATTGTTCGTTTAATTATTCATTTCTCCTCACTGAAAGAAAAATAAACGAAAATAGGGAGTCTACCGGAAATAGGAAACTTTCTAAAATCTATGATATTTGTTATACATACTCCTTTTTAAGTCGCCGGAAGGAATCAGTTACATACCTTTAACCAATAGAAATGAATTGAACAATCGAGTATGTTGTTCTTAGAGCTTGAAAACCTAACTTGACTTAAAATATCATGTAAGTATCATTTTAAACCTGTTTCTTATTTTTGTGCATATAGTTTTTATGTAGTTCTAAGTGGTCAAGTATCAATTTATGTAAATACAGAATCTGTGCATGATGATCAAGAGACTATTCATCAACAAGATGATTCAACAGTTGGATCCAAACATACTATGGAGCGCAAAGTAATTAATCGAGAAAAATATGGAAATTATATCGCAAATTTAGGTAAGCTAATTCTTTTGTGAACTTAATACTTTTTCAATTCCATCCACTTCAGAGTGGTAGGTATGTAAACTAATATTTTGAACGAATTTATGTCGTATAACCTAATTATTGATGTATTAAATGACGTGCCTAAATAAATGACTGTCAGCGTGAACTGAAATACCTGATTGTTAACGTCTCTAAGTGCATTCCTGTGTAACATGGACGCGAATCCCTGAGGGGACATTGATTTCAATAAGATTGCAGGTCCGATTAGCTGAAGACTGTCAGTAAACGCAAATCCTAGGTCCAGGGGTGCCCATCAACTGCTTACAACAAAATAACGTCAATTCAAAGTGCACCATGATAGCGGCCTGTTCAGCTTGCAAACTTGACAGACAGTATTTAGTCGAAACCAACACTAAGAACCAGCTATTCGACATTAGTTACTCACTAGTGAACAGTCAGTGTTATGATGGGAACACATAAAGTGTGTATATTGGTGTGAATATATTACTCGATCACTCTTTTTCAATGATGTACAAGAAAACAGTTATCTATCCATGCTTTCAACAATATTTTACCCAATTAATCTAATCTAAAGAAAGTTAAGACAGGTAATAAAGAATTTAAAGTAAAACCAGCTTCAATACATAAATGGTTGTTCGCTTAACGAAACGTACTAAATGTGTAGATTTCAATAACGATGCAAAAGCCTACTATAGGGTGTTCTCAACAATAAATATTCTTGATGGGAGAGACTATTCATACCACAATGTCATTGAAGCGGTAATTTATCCTCTTAACCTTACTATTTATCATACTACTGAATTAAGTTTGTTTTAGACGATACTGAATGAGTCTAATATGTCACTGCAGACTTTACTGTGTTTTAAAATTTAATGGACAAATTTTGCTGAACAACATATTCCTAAGGAGGACCTTTTCGAAAATGGTAAATTGTTCAGTTGGTTATTTGTCTTAGACAAAGAATAAGTTCTATGAAATGAATAACTGGTATCTTCCTTATTTAACAGTGTTAGTCTGCTTCGCAGATCTGTTATTTCGCAACCTTTTCTCATTTTTTTAAACGGCTGCTCCACTTTGTTATAAGCGTTCTAATTAAGTGTTCTGATGAATACTATGTGTTAAAGCAATTGATTTTACACGAGAATAAGACCAATGAAATCTTTTTACAAATTAATTAGTAGTTACTTCTTGATGCCACTTGATAAAATCCTACTTAACAATAAACTGTGGGCTACTTAGCTGGAATAAAGCTCACGCCTTATCATAGACAAAAGTCATACCTTTTTGATCAGGTCAACAGAATATGTTCTACTCACTGTAAGGTAGATACACCTGATTCTTTGTCGATGCCTGACCAGCGTATATTAACAGACAATAAATATTTGCATTGCACAGAGGTCTTATTGGATTATTTACTAAAAAAGCTCAGTCTAAAGGATTTAATTATCTTCGAAGAAGGCTGTAAACAGAAATATGTTAGATGGGAAAAGAATGAAAATGATTAGCAATTATCCAATACTTAATTTGTTATTTTTTGATTTCTTAATTCCACACTATCATTTTGACCATTTTTCAAAATCTGGTCACAACTTCCCATAGGACTCCAGGCAACTTAATGCAGTAGTTAGTCACTAGTGAGCACTAGATTAACCTGCAAATGTTGGGTGTAAGGAAAGATAACCATTAGCTAGCAGTCGTGCTTTATATCTTGGATATATAGAAGTTAGGATCAGTGGTTCCGTTCTAGTGACTGAATGGTCAACGCTCTCCCTTAGTAACCTGAACGTACTGGGTGCGTACTACTGAAGAGTCCCAAACAATGACCGGATAGTTGTCCGGTACTTCCTGGTTTTCCAGGGTTCTCTAAATAAAGACAGTTCATGGCCAATCTTTAAATCAACCAAATCTCAGCAAACTACAAATCTAAAAGGTTATTTTTAAATTTCGCGTAAAATAATATTTTGAATATACCCATACTAATTACTATTATATTTCTTTCCTTTCCTTTTTCATTCAACAATGTCTTCATTATTGAACATGTTCATTAAAACTTTAGGAAATGGTACCAGCTTTGGAGAATTAGCTTTAATCAATAAGGATTGCATAAGAAATGCAACAATTATCGCTGATTGTACAACTCATTTAGTTGTTGTCAATAGAATGACATATAATCGTTCATTGAAAGAAGTACATGAAGCTGATTTTAAAAAACGTATTGATTTTGTTAATAAGTGTGCAATATTCAATGGATGGATACAAAGCTTGAAAAAACAAGCAGCAATGTCTTTAGTTCAAACAGATTTTCAATTTGAAGCAGATCTTATACGTCAGGGTGAACCATTAAATGGGTTATTATTTATACTTACGTAAGTATTATTTTTTTTTTTGATTTACAGCTTGATTCCACACCGTGTTTTCAGTACAAGTGTGGAATTTCAGCATGAATACTGGTAGCGCAAATTCAGGCCGACCATAGATATCGGGTGTGCACCGGCAGGGGGTCGAACCCCGGACCATGTGCATGGTCGGCGAGAGTCCTAACCACTGTGCCACCGACGCACGTATAGTTTTATATAAGGTTAGAATTTCTCATAGATGTTTCTTCATCAGACTAAATTTTATTGCATCGTATGACTCTAAACAAAGTCTACAGAGGCTCTTGCTATCTGTTACTATTGAGTGAAATAGGTTTTACTTTCCAGTTTTTATACTGCCTAGGTATGAAACTGTCAATCTAATAGAAGACCGTTGAATTTCTAATAGAGTGTGAATATATCTGTATGATTCATCTTTTTATTATGGTATTATAACTTCACTAATTTAATTGACTCTTTCTATATTAGATAAGTTTACGAGATTTAATGAAGTGTTGCAGTAACTTGATGAAGTTCCATCCACAAATTATTGCTTAAAATGACATCAGTATATTCATGACTTCATAACTTGCTTTAAATAACCTCACTTCCTTCAGTTTTCCTTGCAATCTTACTTATGCTGTGTAAGGTATTTGAGTAGTTTTGATTGCATGTATTGTGGATAGACATATAATGTCATGTAAGAAACTAGCGAATTCTATATTGTCAGACCCCGAACACCCTCTCTATATGCAGCTCTCTCCTTGCATTTCATCTGGTAGAACTAGAAGCAACTATAGGAAGCTACATGCCAGGACTACCAAGTATAAAAACTCCACAATACCTTATCTGGCACAGCTGTTATGTGATGAGAAAACTGTTGAGCATGACACGATCACATTACTGCGGCACTCTAACAAATAGTTCCCATTAGCTTTTGTTCTCCTTTCTTTGTTACTATTATATTGTTGCTCATATATTCTATTACAGACTAATTTTATATATCATATCCTGTGGTGCATTGTTTAAATATGTGAATGCAATGCTGTTCTTTTTATTTCTTTTATTTCTCCCTTTATCTTTTTGTTGTTGTTGCTTTTTTTTAAATCCTTATAAAATTTATGAGGTAATTAGATGCAATATTGTAATGTACGCTGAAAATTCCATACCTGTACCATAAATACTGTTTTGAATAAAGCCATTATTATTATTGTTTGCGCTGATTCACTGAACAACGATTCGGTGATTAACCCCTCTCTCAAGTGATTGTGTTTGGATAAAGTAACAATTAAACTCAGTTTTCGCTAAGCCAGACATCTTTGTCCACGATTTGTGACAGTTTAATTTAGAGTTGCTTCCCATCAGCTACAAATCGACTCTAGAATTCATGTTCGAGGTTTAATTAGTCAAATGAAAGATGATTTGTTTTTTTCTAGTTTTATGGGATAGGCTTTAAACACCACCCACTATTATGAATTAATTTTGTTCTCTGAGCTGGTTGATTTAATTGCGAAGCTTTCGTCGTCCTTCTAGACAACATCTTCATCACAGGCTTTAGTATGGAATAAACTCATTCGTGGAGAATTCAAACCAGTTGACTCTTATTTATGAACATCATAGTTTGGTGCCTGATTTCCTGAAAAAAATTCCGTTATACTGCATCTCATTATGGAAACCAAATACATTAATACAGTCCTGAAAACAAATCAATTACGATATGGTTGGACTTTTATTGTATCAGTGAGGTACACGAGTTTCAGTCTCTGAGAGTACATAAGTTTTCTAAAGGTTGGAAGTGTGTCTTAGGCATAAATTCCATCAGTCACAAAGAGTTGGTAATTAGGAGATACCCAAGAGTTTTTTCCTACCAAAACTACACAAAGTCCACAGTAGTCTCTTTTCACTCAGCATATATATACTCAAGTAACTATTTATCTCTTGGCCCTTAGATCAGTTATCATTTCATAATCAGATTTCCTGTAAAACACTATGTAAATGAAGGTAACATATTTGATTATATTTTTAGAGGACAAGCTCAGATATTTGTTGATGTTCTTAAACATCCCAAACAATATCCTAGTTTGAAACTTGCAACAGATCCATCAAATTTACAACCAACGGATGAGCATAAATTGATACATACAGAAAGGTAAGTTGGTTTCATTCGTTTTAAGCATACAATCGTCACTAATAGGCATCATTATACTTTAAATATCATCAGTCATATCCTGATTTAAACTAATTAACACAAAAAGCGTCAACTGCCCAGTTAGTTATGTTGATATCTTAGGCCATATGACTGGTGGGGATAATCAGCGGAATTTAGGACCTAGTATTTTAGACAAAACAATTGAATGAACGTGCATTCCTGTAAGTAATTCTGTTTCCCATGAGAATCGAACCACGCCGCATTCGTTTGAAACGCTTTAGCATTGCTCTGGGACTCCAGAAAATTAAAACACCCTCTTAATATATTTTTATAATTAGACCATAAATAATTAATGAGTTATTACGGATATTCTTATTAAAGTGTGACTCAAGTTTACTGAGTGGCTGTACTACAGATGAAGGATATTCAAAATATTTCTGGGAAGCTCACTGTAGAAATTACATTCATATCGATTACAGAAATCGAAAATCTCGTGCTTTAAATCTTATTGGTGATTTCTGCTCACGCTTGTTCACTTTGTAACACAACAGTGATGATAAAATTTGTACTCTTGATTGTTTATTTATTTCTAAATGAGAATAATTGCGAGAGTTCTTCTTTCAGAACAAGACATATAAGCGAACAATATTGTTTTCAATTAGATCTTCTTCAGGCTTTACTCTAATTTACATAGATTTATATATAAAAATTTTAACCAATGATGGTGAGTTTGTGGATCAAATAATAATAATGTGTTAAACGTTTTGAACGTCAGTTATAACGATGATTATAATGATAACAAAATATTGATAATAAGGCTTATGCAGGTGGCAATAAGAATAACGAAGGTAGTAATATGTGTATATGTAGACAATTCAATTAATAAATTAGGTCGAATCTCAAAAGTTACGTAATACTAAAGGTGAAGTAGACAGATAACCAGAGTTTAAATAAATATCATTAAAACACGAAGGAAATCGAAAATAAGAAAAGCTGGAAGGGTTTTAATTAGAATTTACTTAGGCTAAGGGAGAGACAAAGGTTGAACAAACTTCTTTTGTATGCAAAGACTAGGATTATTACCTCAAATTCCTTAGCTTCGGCTATGTGTAAAAGATGGGTTAGAATTCCATTCAGAAGGTTCAGTGGAATGCGATAGATAACTTTGAAGGCACTTCTTCTGTCCACTTGGTGACCGTTACCAATCAAAAGAGCCAAAATAGAACTTCTTATAGATTCTATTTGACCTTTTTCGAACTATGAAGGAAGATGCTCATTAATACGTTTGTTGAGCTGTCTAGTTGTTCGCCCTATATAGCTTTCTCAGCAGAAGCAACTAAATTTGGAGATACACACAGAAGTGGCAGAGCTAGATAGCCTGTTTTCCTCTTGAGCAATCATAATTCTTCGGCTAGAAAATGACAAACAGAGGGTAGCTTTTACTATCGATGAAAGACTAATAGTGAGCGGCAAGCAGAAACTTTTGTCCTCTGTAGAATCAATCGAAGTTGCTGTCAAATGTTCATTGAACACAAAATACTTAGTGTTTAACTTCTTTTACGTGACTCTTTCAACGAAATAGTTATTAGCCTTATTACTAGGCACTAAGTTGTATTGTGTTACCTCAAGTAAGATAAATGTAGATATACAATGCAAAGCATACAACTCCATTAATCTTAAGCATGTAACACTAATCGAAACGAAAGGATTTACTCTGAATGGTGACGTCACGTAAGGGATCGAAATCAGGCTGGAATATGTAAATAGATAAGATTTGTGCTTAAAACTAATTTACAGAAATGTCATAAAATGTGAATATATATATATATATAGTCTGAAAACTTTGTTATTGTACTAGTGATATTATTGAAACAGTGTGAATAACAAGTATTGAAAATATTTCGAAATCATTTTAGGAAAAATCGGTGGCAATGATATGATTGTTTAACAGCCGAAGTATAAAAAAGAAAAATTTATTTATTTAGTGTCTTTGAAGTGTCTTTGGTACTTCCTTTCGTCAGTTGCACAGTGGTAGAACTCTCGCCAACCACTCAGGTGGTTCGGGGTTTGATCCTCGGCAAACTCACTCCTTTACCCCTCTAAGCCAGTAATAAGACTGGTAAAGAGGGAAGTTTGGGCATGAGGCTAGCAACCCCATCCCGTAAAAATGCACACCATTGCTACCGAAACTTCAAATCTCTAGCCTGAAGCCCTATATTCCACTGGGAACTTACAGGAATAAAATAACAGTAATAGTACTTCTTTGGTACTCCTTTTAATTACTACCTAAATAAAGCATTCACAGCTTTAATGTAATGAAATCTGGTCTCAGAACAATTAAGTTGATAAGCTGATCATACCGTTCTTTCCTAAAACTTTCTTCGTAGCAAGAGGTAATTAAGCCGTCTAACAGATCACTGAAGGTGTTTTATGGTCTCGAAATGTAACACCTGAAATGGAAATTGAGTGTAGTATAATACTAAATTATTTCACTACAGACATCATTTAGTAGTTCGTCATTATTATAAGCTAACAGTTACATGCATAGGTCTGTGCAGAATGAAGCAGAGCCAACTAGTAATTGCTCTTAGTCAGCCTGTTAGCTACCACTGGAAATATTACTTGTACATGTATGCAGATATATTTATTGAAAAAAATATCTTTGACGTCAAAAATAATGGAATAAAAAATTATCATAATCGTAAAATTTGTACTTGTTGGGATGATTGTCTACAAAATTTGTCCAAATATTAGCACATAATTAATGCAAAAACATGAATGAATTGTGTTCATCTAAGCTTATAATATGGTTACGATTAAGCAGGATAGCTGTCTGACCATTGTGAGTCTTAGCTAACACCATCAAGGTGAATTTATAAATTAGTGAAGACTCATGGCCTTATATATGTATGGTAAAGGAAGTAACTTCCCCAATATTTTATATATTTTCACCTTATTCACTGGTTGAAAAAGTGAAGCCTTGAATACTTGCTTTTATATTATATATATATATATATTTTATTAAATAACTTTTAGAGCTTTATTTCTCTAATTTCAGTCCTAATTACCCAATTCGACGTATGGGATATGTTATCAATGAGCATCGAAATGCTCTTCGAAGGATTGAGCTGTCTTTAGTTGGACCTGGTACCATACTTGGTTAGTTGGTCATAATAATTGTCAGTTATCTTTTCTCGGAAATTTGGAGCATCGTTGTTCAACGGGAATTAGCTGTGTTGTGTGCTATATTTCAGTCAGTAACAAACTACTTAGCATGACTATCAAGTATCATCATATGAAAGGTTGAAATAGTTAATGCTTTTACAGACTAACGTAGTTCATACGTCTTGACAGGCATTCAGTTAGTTATCAGTGAAGGGCAAACAGAAGTAATGAAGAAATATCACACAGACACCAATATACATAGACGTGTATACTTATATGGACTAAATAGATCATTAGAAAGAAGAGAACACGAAGTTCAGCAAAGATATCTTTTCGGCGATTTCATTTTCAAAAGCTGTACAATCGCATTTCAATACATAATTTTACAATTCTTGTTTGATTCTACATAATTACGACGGCGAATAAAAGGTGATAATTATTTCCAACTAGATATGGTTTTACGAGAGGCTTAGAAACAAAATTACACAGGATTAGAACGGATAACAAGTGTGTAAAAATCAGCATGGAAACAAAACTGAAATAATAATTTTCAACTTGAAAGGAACAAGAATTAAATACATCTCTATCACTAAGAATGAGTTACAGTTACTTTCTTTGAAATTTGAAATCAATGAGAGATACTGTAAGACAACCAACAACTCGTTTATTCAGTCAATATCTTGATATTTAATGCTTTCTGACCATGTATTCGACCAAGGTAGACTGCTGGGTTGAAATCCAGTGTACTGTAATTCTTGTCAATTATGATGTTACAGGACCTACTCGCCAAGGCCAGTAGAATGTTGGTGAAACTATTTATCCAACTGACGAAAGTGGAGTACACATGTTGTAAAACAAATCTCCTTGAAACCCTATAACCTTCAGATAGACCCTCAGTAGATGTTTCATGGGAAGAGACAGTAGTCAGCCAATCCCACAGACTCCGATGTTCATCTTACTGGGGTTTATTCATGACAAATTAAGTCCCATCGTTGCACAACTAACAGCTGAAAAACACTAGGTCATGAAATTCTCGAAGGAACAATTTAAATAAAATCAGTTATCAACTGTTCAGTGGTCTAGTTTCCAATGGTACTCTGGCTACCGTAGGGGTATAAACCTAGATAACATCATACAGTTAGGTGACACAGAGCAAAAGTTTTCGAGGATTATACATTCAGACGTAGGAAGAATGTGATGACTGGAACTTTATTTGCGTAATCAAAATTTTAAATTTTCCACACAAGTGATACAACTTCAATTTTTGAAGAATAGAAAAGTTCACTGGTGTTACGTTTGAACAACAAAAATTGACTGAAGTGCATGTAACAAGACAGAAAGCTTTATGATTGCCCTAATATTATTTTGCGTGATAACCAGGTCAATTTAGTCATTTCTTATCAATGATGGTTACTTCAATAAATTATTTCTGACGAGATTATGTACGATACAAGATCTGTAAAAAAAGGGAAGAACAAATAAAATTTTTCTTTCAGTTTTACTCACTAGAAGACGACATATGTTGTCGTTTTGAGAAACGTGACGCTTGGTAGCGTAAACATTACAGTTGCTAGTCTATTGTTAAAAGATCTACACTTGCCAAATTCAATCAACAACACCGCTGAACGTTGTCTGTTGGATTTCATTTCTACTACGCAATTCACTGAATTGCCAACTTCTACAACCTATATGATCTCATTACTGGAATCGCCCCGCTAGACAAACATTTATCAACAGTTAGAATTTCGCTAACTGATTTGATTTAAAGGGCTAATGAGTACATGATAAATACTGAAGACAAAAATTTGTTTTCATTACTTTGCTATATTATTAAAATGTATACCTAATAGGTTTCATCTGTTATTTAAATGTACATGCATACATATATAGGTGAATTTGAATATGGTTTTGATTTAAAGACCTATATGCAAACTGCTATCTGTACAGAATCAATTACAGCTTATGTATTAAGCAGTAGAAATTTTGACCGCCTAATTCAAAGTCGTCGTAATCCGGATGGTTTAAAGAAAATTAAAATGATGGCTGAAAGAAATTTAATGCTTCGTATAAAACGACCAATTGATTCGAAAATCCCCTTATTTATCTGTTTAGCTCAAGATATTATGGAAAGAAATCTACTAGTAAGTTAGAACAAAGCATAAATTTAGTATACATGTATGTACATATGCCTGAAGTTTCGTGTAACATTTCACAAACAATTAGCTACATACGGTTTTGTTTCTTCTTGATTCCTGGGGTTCCAAGTGAAACACAGAGCCTAGAACTTTCAAGTTCCAGTAGTAGTGGTGTAGTTGGCAAAGTTACACAATAACATCCCAAGGGATGCGAACGCACCAGTGACCTTGAGCCAACCAACCATTAAAAATAAGCGAATTTTGGACAAATAGTAACATTTATTTACAAGAAATGCGTGGAAATACATTAAACAGGATATCCTTCTCTGAAATGGCTTAAAAATACGTCCCAGTTATGATGAGGAGTATCAGTTTTTGAGTTAGACCAGTTTCTGCACATGTATTGACCGAGGTGACTTAGAGTGAGCTTGTTTTGTGACCCGTTTATCGCTCTTATCCTGTTTTTCAGTCTTCCCCAAAAGCCGTCGGTTAAATTACTATGGTTTCCAGTATGGGAATCAACGACTACTTACTGGCAAAGTATGGATAATAAAACACGTTAAAGTAAATAATACCAAATCCAAATCTATCGCTTATCGTAACCTTAACCTTAATCCTGATCCTAACCCTAAACTTGATACTCACCCTAACTATAACCCTTATCTTAACCCTAATCAACACCCTCGAGAGCTATTAACACATTATCGAAACAGTACTTAAAAACGTGATCTGGGTGAAATTTGCTCCTTAGTTGGTGAAAAGCGTACATATTTGTGTTGTAGTAGTGACAGGTATAGTTAGCCAACGACTAGCATACGTTCAAGGTCATTGGAGAGTTCGCATCCCTTGGGACGCTATTGTTTAACTTCTCCGTGTAGTTTATTACTTGGTGGATTTGCTAGCTGTACGCTCAAGCTTACCACGGGATGGTAAAACAGGCGGTGTTCAAGATTGTGTCGACCGTGGCTTGCGAGCATTTAACCACTGATGCTTACACAGTTATATTAGTTGGTGATAAAATGTATAGAACTTAACTTTTACAGTTCTGGTATCATATGTTTCCCTGTAAGCAAAGTGTACTCATCCACCATGTTGAAATCCTACTTTTATATAGTTTCAGTACAAAGCAAATTAAGTGATGTATTTGTGTTACAACAGTCTGTGACTTTGCAGTGAATTCCCCGGTTAAAGCATTGATTTTGTTACAGACACTGAATTTAATAATAAGTCAGTATAAATCCCACATTGTGTTTCATCCGACAATAAGACTAGCAAAGTATTCGGTTATTTTCTACCCTACTACTGACTGTCACAGTCATAAATTTAATGCCTAACAGGTTTCTCAAAGGTGACTTTCAACCTTACTTTCTTAAGCTACACATTTTTGAACAAATGTAAAAATAAGTTTATTGTCTTTTAAAAGCCAGTAACTAATTTCATCACTTCTTTCTTTTAGTTGCAAGAAGAACAACGTGATAAAGTTTTGTTCAACAAGAGTAAAATAAATCAACAGCAAAGACCAAACGACAAAACTAAATCTCAAATGAAACAAGTGAGTTGTTGTAATTTTTACATTCGCGTTTTATACTTTCTATAATATTTTTAATGACTTAAATGATGTTAGGAATAAATTCCTAGTTTGTAGACTAGTCGTCAAATGTATTTTATCATTTTCTGACAAGCATACTATCCAAAGCGATAGTGACTTAACAGTTTTAGACTCCACCTTAAGATATCAATGTTTTCCATTCGAAACTGGGATACTGAGACATCAGTCTGCCCTGCAATCTACACGACAGATTTTATCTGGATAGAGAAAATGAAATCTATGTGGTATACACTACAGACTGAAATGAGTAGCTGCAGAATTTGCCAAATAATTAGTAGTGGATTTTATATATTTAAAATACTGGACCAAGTGCTCCATCCAGCAGTTTATGTCGTGGTACACTCACTGATAAACAGAGTGTCACACGTGAGATGTATTCAAACACTTAAAGGTATTGAAGCTAATAGTGAAATAATCAGTTTTCCTTTTCAATATCATGCTTATTCTGGAATTTCAACTCAGAGCTCTCTAAGGACCTTGTCATTTTATTACAATAAATATAAGTATTACCATAAACTCAAAATATGTGGCTTCTAGAGACCAAACATTTTTTATCAGTGTACTACCACGGTCGTGTGTTGGTGGCACAGCGGCAGAGCGCTCGCCGACCACGCAGGTGGTCCCCAGCCAACGCACTCCTTTACCTCGCTAAGCCAGTAATTAAACTGGTAAAGAGGAAAGGTTGGGCATGACACTAGCGACCCCATCCTGTAAAAATAAGCACCTCTACTACAGAAATTTCAAGCCTCTAGCTTGAAGCCCTATATTCCACTGGGAACGTAAAGGAATAAAAAAAGCTATCATAACTCCAACTTATAACTGCCTCACTTAGTGCACATTTGTCTGTAAAGTAAGCTTTTTACTAAGTGTGCAAAGAATGCATTCAGAAGGTATTCCGATTCAATAAATTAGTTACTAGCTTAGCGATTTGAAATTAATTTTGTACAAGAGAGATATTAGTTGCCTACTTTGCTTTAGACTCTGTCTTCAGTGAGGCTTGAATGATCCCAGAGAATGTCAAGAGTCTAACAAACTCAGAAAGCGAGTCGTTATTTTCAACTTGAAGTATATTTCATAAAATACATGGAAAGTTGTAAATACATCTAATTTTACCTGGCTTTCGCGTAAAATATGTATTTTACAGTTATTTTGCATTGATAATGCGTTTTTTGTTTACTGATTTTTGTGAAGACCACATTGTAATAGGCTCTAACGCTTTGAACTTATCAGTGAAATTAGTGTTTTTCAAAAACACTTAAAAACATCACTACTAGGCATTTTGACTAATTTCTGGAGACAATTAAAGCTTTCTTATCATCGGTCCATTTTCTTTCTTGTTTTTGCTTGCCGGTGATACCATCGTTGTTGCAATTGACGTTATTTATGATTAATGTTCAAAGTGGTTTTCATTAGCACATTAAGTTCGTATAGATTGCAGTCTACTTAGTCAGATCACTAATCAGATCCGAAATTTGGTACAATAAAAAAATGTCAAAAAACAAAGTTTGCATAGTTTTTTTCCACACATTAAATAACTTCAGCGTTTAGTAACACTAATGACAAGCAAAGCATTAAAAACAAGTGTATTTCGCTCAACTGCTTATTTTTTATCTCTTTTGACAAGCATTTTAATTGTTCTTATTTTATGTTATTTATGTTCTTATGTTACTAATTTAATTTGCTTAGTTATTAATTATTATGGGAGGAAGATATGGTTTGAGAGAGGATCGTAACACAGCCGAAAGGTTATGAGTATAGTGTTTAACATAGCTTGTCGTATAACTTTGACGTCGAGATTCTGTCTACTTCAATTTGACTCATTGCAATCAATCTAGATTGTCGCTTAAATATCTTAATAGCTATTCACAAAGGAGTCAACCCATTTATATCCACACCAGGCTTACATAGGAAGGTGACATCACTGACTGGTTGTCAATAGATTGCAACAGAAAGTTCATGATAAAAGAAAGATTTCTACACAAAGTTTTGCTAATGACAACTGACTGGAACTAGCTTAAAGAAATATTTGGAACCATAGTATTCACTCAGGTTGTCAGTTAACCCTATGAATAAAATTAATGATACTTTTTTAGGGCTTTAATATATTATTTAGACTTTATAATATATAATGATTGCAACATCATAAACTCGTTTAGTTGTTGAACATGAGCTTAATCTGTAAATATATTCAAGTTACATGTTGAAGGCATATTTACTTGGACATATGGACACTGAGTGTTCACATCTTACCAACTCCTCTTAGGTGTGACTGCCGTAGAGTTCAGAACCACCCATTCTACATGTATATATAAACATACGTTTATTTAAAATATGCCGATCTGTTTTTGATACAGAGTTACTTGTTTCTGATATGTTAGGTTTCGCACATAGTAGTACTGACAATAACAAAAGAATCATTCTTGACAAAGGCTCGAAAAATGTACAGAATTCGTACATTAATTTATTGCATAACATTCTCTTTGCATCAAAGATCTTTAAGTAGATTAACTAGCTGTAGTATATAATGTGACGCAATGCTGTCTGATCTGAAACACAGGCTAATCCCTTATATTTTTCCTTCGTCTTCGAGAAATGATAATGGGTAGTTTAAAAGCAAATTAAAAATGTACGTGAGTACCTTGTGTGACTCAAATAGACAAGTGAATGCTTTAAACAATGAGAACAAGAGAAAATATGATGCACTGTGTTGGCTGGAAATTCAAGCAGTCCGCTGATTCAAGGAGGCCACCAGTCTTCTGTCGTACTGCTACTCACATTTTAAGCCTGTAAGGGCACATTTATAACTACGTTAACTGTTTGCATTGTTAAATTTTATGTGGAAAAATAAAATATTATTATTACTGAAACACGAAATGGGTACTCAATGAGTATCAAGAGATGAGCCGTACAAGACTGATAGTTTGTGTAAGATTTTGGGATATTGCTGAGCCACCCAAATCGAAGCAGGTGGTTTCCCTAAGAGTCCGACCCCCGTGGCTTTGACTTGACTTATGACCCACAATGTAATGGAGCAAAGTCAAGAGCTACGTTCCTATGGTTTTCAGTGACCAAAGCAGGCTCATACACCATCCGATCTATTTGGATTTTGGAGCCCATGTAAACCAAAGGTTGGGAATCAACGTTTCCTAGCTCCTGCAGGTAGATCAGCATATCTACCAGCCCGCTTGTAAGCTATAAACGTTCGCGTTCTCCCCTTCACTTTAGTGAGGAACACACCCACCATGTGAAGACAGTGGGTAGGACTTATCTTGCAGAAGCCATGAACGAGTGGCCACATGAGAGCATTTCTGGAGAAAGTTCCAAGTCTACCCACCTTCGGCCTTATGCGGTAGTGTATTGGGGTGGAAAAATAATTAGATATCTTCTACTCACTTAAACAACAATTGGAAAAACTCTATATAACTAAAATCCTATTGTTTATAACGTAAATATTCGAAACATTTCTACAAAACTTCTCTTACTGATAGTTAAAATGAGTGGAAAAATAGAATCAGTACAGTAGAGTTGCAGTGAAATAAAATACTTTAAAATCTGAATGTGTATTGCATAACGAGTTTTAGAAAAACAAATTATCGCTGGAGCAGTACCAAGATTTTTTAACTTTCAAGTAAATGGGACTAAGAAACACTTAAAAATAAATCAATAACTTATCCTTCCTAATTAGTCATTTCATCTCACATCAAGATTTCATACTGAAACTGTGGCTAAATATTTTACCCCGGTACACTATGAGAACTTACTTTATTAAACCATTCAGCTTAGAAAACAGAACAACATCAAAAATATCCAAATGAGCTATAAATTTTGCTTCATTACCTCAACATTCCTCAAAGTTATGAGATAACTGCTTCTTCTTTGCTTACAAATCGGAATTTTAATTTCTTAATTGCTGTTTTATTTGATTCTTCAATGAGCAGAACATTCTAAATACCTAGTTATTCTATCTCACTATTTTTAAAAATCAAAAATACTTCCTTATTTAAAAGAAAAATGTAAAACTGGAAAGCTTCATTTTTCCTCAATTTTGAATTACTTCAAACTTTTCTTTAATGTTTTATTTTCTGATAATCACTTTTTTCATTCTTTTTCTCATTTGTTTTTTTTTTTGATTCCTTCATTTTAGTTTCATGTTGGAAGATAAAATCGTGTATTTGGAAGTGTAAAATAATACAAAACATATACATATACATATATACATCTATACTACTTTGTGCTCAGTTGTATTAGTTACATTCTTTCAACTCTTCTCATTGTATTTAAAAATCGATGTGTACATTTAAACCTCTGGTCTTGTGTTTTATGTACTCCGTTACTATTGTTACAGTTTACTGGAAGCTACTCTACAGCAGTTGATTTCAGTTAAATTCTAACAATCAGTATCATTTTTAATCGAGTTAAAAATTATTAGTGTATATTTTATTACTCACTAGAGAGTTTTTGTTTTCCTGCATAGTTATATTATTTCAAAATGTCACTGTAAACAATTAAAGTACTTTGTGAAGATGGCCTTTACGATGAATCATGAACTGATTCTTTTCACAGTATTGAAATCTTGTGTACTTCTTTTGAACAACTCATATCTTTGTATTTTAAAGAAAATTTTAATAAAGACAAAATTGAATTTGATTTGTGAATCTAATTCTGAAGGTTGTCACACTTTTTAAAAGGCAGCTAGGAAAAACTATGCATCCGATATTTTTTGATTCCATTTGTTAATGAGACTATCTGGGAGAGTTTTGGACTGTCATACTGCTATAAATAGAGTGAATGATGACTGAGGTTAACATGAGAATCTAGATCGTGGTAGGATTCCAGTTTGTGACTCAGGGATATACTAATTGAAGTAGGAAAACCAGGTGCTTTCTTAGATAACTTCATTAGGAATTATCCCTCCTAATTTATAATATGATTAGAAGTGAGGAGAGAAGTACTAACTGGGTAGCTTATGTAATAATGTTGAACGAATAGTTCTGTACCACTAATTCTGATGACAGCTTAATACAAACCCCTATCATTTCAGTGAAATGATAATCTGGTTTCAGAGTGGGTGTCGTGGACCAACTTTTTGAACACTCAGCTAGTAACACAGTTTCCAGTGAAGAGTATTCAGTAATGTATTGCCTAGTTCATAGTGTTCGTCTATTTTTCTGAACGAGTATATCATATATAAATATTAGTAGCAAATTAACCTTTGTGATGTTGAGTCGATCAGGAAGTTTGACAAGATGGAACATATATTAGTTTTGTGCTTATTGATTTTACTGAGGAAGGTGTACCTATAACCTTGACTGACAAAGCTACGGTTTTCTTAGAAACCTAAAGCTTCAGCCATAGAAACAACCATGTCATCAAATTAAATTTACTTAGCCTAAAAAAGAGGTCTACTATAAAGGAAGGTTTAAAATCTTTATTGATTAACTCGATAACTAGATGTGTTGAAAACAAAAGAACATAATTCTTATTGACACAGTAAGCTAATGTGAAAATATAATTTATCATGGAAATAAATGGCTTTGCTAATTATTGATGGAAAATAAATGAAATTCGGCATCATCTGAGTTTTATGAGATATCAAGTAGCGGCGAATTTAAGTACTATTTAGGCTACGTAAGAAGATACTTTCATCTGGTAATAATAATTGTTATTAAGAGAAAATATTATAAGAAACAGAAAAGTTACATGCTTTTTTATTCCTTTATGTTCCCAATGGAACTAAGGGGGCTTCAAGCTAGAGCTTTGAAGTTTCAGTAACAGTGATGTTTATTTTCACGGGACGCGGTTGCTAGCCTCATGCCCAAACTCTCCTCATTACCAGTCTCATTACTGATTTAGGGAGGTAAAGGAGTGAAACGGCTGGGTATCGAACCCCGAATCACATGCGTGGTTGGCGAGAATTCTACCGCTGTGCCACCGACGCTTTCGATCCATCTATATTAAATTATTTAACTGTCAGTCATTTCACCTAGTGAAAACACCGTTAAGATTGTTAGCGAGATTTGCTCATCATTTTATGCATGTTTATTAAAAACTTCATGGCTTAAGTAATAGAACACTGAAGATTTGACTATGATATCAGTAGCATGTGATTTCAGTTCTCCTGTCTTACTGTCAGTTTCAGCACCGCATATACAGATTATTAACCTCCACACTTAAATCCATGTTTTCCCACCTTTCACAATTATATTAACATTTGTGATTAGACAGGATTTTAGTCCACTTGCCTTTTTTGGTATGATTAAGGTGTTAAAACGAGTCATCCGGAATCTAACCTAATCACCTACAATATGAGTTTTTCGTTTTAGAAGCAAAACGCTTATAAACTGAAACTTATTCAATTATTTTTATCAAAAATTAGTTATATTGATCTAGCTTTATCAGTTCTAATTATGCGAACACGTTGAAAATCGCTACTTTTGTATCTTGTTTTATCTCAGATAAATGAATGATCCAGCCCCTAGGGAGATCAGATGAAATGTACTCCAGAGACCTGAATGATTATTTCAACTTAAACTGACGTCTGCATTAAGAATACATATACAGATTATAAAATCTCAAAAAATTTTAATTCATGCACAAGTAAAAACCCATTTACTGGTCTTTTTTCATTCGTATCAAATTAATTTATTTTACTGTAACTACCTTGAGACAGTTCTATTGCTCCCTGAACTTTGAATTTACTTCGACAGAGTATTTGACATAAGTCAACCAAAACCTATAAGATACCGTAAATAAAAGAATCAGTTGTGGTGAATAGTTTGGTTTACAAGTGTTTGTATTGGTCTAAATTCGTTATGATATGTCTGGAAGCTGCCAATAAAATGCAGCACCAAAGATTCTATCTTTATAGGAAATAACAAAGACAGCATACAGATAAGTAAATCTAAGAATTACTAATACCATATTTAGTGGGAAGAAACTTAAGCTGATTTCAAATGAAATACTTTGAAATCTAGTTATTTCCTCAAAAGTGCGTCGGTGGCACAGTGGCACAATGCTCGCCAACCACGCATGTGATTCGGGATTCGATACCCAGCCGTCTGACTCCATTACCTCGCTAAACCAGTGATGAGATTGGTAATGAGGGAGGTTGGACATGAGGCTAGCAACCCCGTCCCGTGAAAATAAACGTCACTGCTACTGAAACTTCAAAGCTCTAGCTTGAAGCCCTTTGTTCCACTGGGAACGTAAATGAGTAAAATAGTAAATATAATTTAATATTCCCTCGAATGACTAGCATTTTGAAACAAGAGTTTAAATTTGTTGTGGTCATAACATCCCTTTAGTACTCCCTAATTTTCAGTATTTCTGCAACTAATATCGGTCCGTGATGAAATTTTACCTTCACTTTGTTATTTTGTACCCCACAAATATTATTAGTGGCAAATCTAACCTTGGGAACTAACTTTATTTATTTTAATCACTACATATATAACACCAGCTATTACAGTGCCTTGCATACTATGTAGTAAATATAGTTATATCACACTCTTTGTTTTATAACAATGAGTTTAGATATGTAAGTTGATTTATTTAGCTAGAAAAACCTGTTCAAATTGCAAAATTATGAAACTTCAAATTTCCCGTCTTTGGTTATCAAAATAATTCTCCTTCACGCATATCTTGTTACCATTTCAGAGAAAATATTCTTTAGAAAGTATAAAAATATATGAAATAAGTTCGCCCGTGCCTTTTACACTCTGAAGTAAATACTTTAAAGCAAATGAGATGCCTAGAATCAATGGGAACAAAGACCTAAACTCCGGAGGTTTTGATATTCGTCAGTTCTGTATTCCTGTGATGTTGGATACTGAGAAATTTTCCCACTAGGATCTTGTAACTTCTACAACTCCCTTAAAAGACTGGACTGTGCAGCGAAAATTAGAATTAAGGTTAGGCTCTCGTAATATACTTACGCCTCGTTTTTCAAACAAGAGATGGTTATTATTTTAACATAAATAAGAAAGTTTGCTGTAAGAAAATTGTGGTAGTCAGTGAAAATGAGTTCAAAAATCAGCTGTTTAAATAAGCTAGTAATTCAAGATTTCGCGAATTTTTGAAGTTAGCCATAGTTTGCAAGCCATTACAATAATTTCATTTATTTTGTTTAACAAACCTTCAATAATTAGACCATTAGTCAGTTTTGAACAAAAGCTAAAATTCACTTTTGAACATCAACATAGGACGAACTGGGATCCAGAACAAGACGTCAAACAATAAGCAAACTGCAAAAGGATATGTTAACATTAAGGTCGGTAAAATATTCAGATAATCAAGAGGAAGAAGAGATAATAAACAACAGACGCAGTCCTCTCAAGAAACGCATAACTTCAACGTACTCTAGAAGTGAAACAATGTCTTCAAAAGATAGCACAAGATTCAACAAGTCAGAGGCAGACACAGCAAATTTTACCTCAGGAAATGAAAGATCAACAAGTATGTTTTATGCTTTTTTTAATGCCTTATTTAATTATTCAAATGTAGAACAACATAGAAAGAAATTTATTCCCAAACACAATGACTACTCATAAGTAGTATAGAAAAGTAACGTAAAATAAACGTCTAGAAAATTGATTGGCAAAAGAGATAAAAATCTTTCCTAACTGATAGGATAACAATTTCTGTATTTTATATCGTGAAATTTCCAAAAACAAAGAAGCCTATCAGACCAAAGGGTGAATGTAAATCATTCCACCAGACTGGACTATTTCTTTCACTGGATATCCAATATATACCAAAGCAAATCCCCTCAAAATTAAAGCCCCACCTGTGGGAGTTTCGAAATAATAATAATAACCTTACAAATTTCTGTTTGCACAGTAGTTGTGTATTTAAAGACTGATATTTATTCTTGTTATTCTCGGTGTCAGAATGTCAGCATACGTTTAAGAGTAGCTTCAAAAAAGAGAATTTTCAGGATTCTTCACTTCAAACTGACATTTTTAGTTTCCAAGATTACATTTGCTTGAATGAATTTTAATTTCACGTAGCTTTACACATGGTTCCATTCCAGCATTCAGACGTCTTTATATTGAACACTTCAAATTCTAGCAAAAATAGTAAATTTATGTTTCAGATACCGCCTATCTTATGAATCAATGAAAACGAAGATATCCATCTACCAGAGATACTCTTCTACATCTG